ACTTTCAAACATGTTTTATTTTCTCCACGATTCCTGATCAGGAGGTTATCATTAGAGGCTGATCGCCACTCCATACGACATGAAGTAGGACGCACGATGAGGCTGAAACTCGATCCAAACAATTCTCGCACAACTGGAAAATCGTCCCAAAAAGGGCAAAAGCTCGTAGACTGTATTCCCATCTTTAGACATCTCTGACACTGAAATTATTCATCCACCTCTTTGATGCAAAACTTGTACAAAAAAAAAAATAGCTAACTTTTAAATTAGACGGCAGACGCATGAAATGTCTGTTTTTAGAAAACCAGCGGCCGGTTCGTCTCTCCTGTAAATAAAACCAAACATAAAGCCACGGCCCCTTCGCCCACTTCACCATCATTTTCACATCAACTTCAAATCCAGCGTCTTCCTGATCTGCTGATTCCCAGGATCCTTTATTTTCTGCGCTTTCAGTTTAGAAATATTCATGTTCAATTAAACGTTTTTAACAAATGTAAACAAAAGAGGCCGACTGAAAACGTTCTTCTACCGTCGATGAATTCCTAATCAGGATCTCTTCTCTTCCAGAGAGACACGATGACGCCTGCTATGTACGTTTGTTTTACGATGTAAAAAAAGTCGACTTATTTTTTTTTTTTTTGCTGTTTTCTTTTTGCGCAGACGCCTTTAGAGGCGGCGGTAAAAAAGGAGGAAAAAGGGAGTCAGGTTAGCTTTGGGCCAGAAGGACAAAGTGATGGAGGTGTGTGCCTTTTCCTGCTAAGCATACGGTTCTTTTCCTAGTTTTTAGCGGTTCTGCTGTTTTAAAGTGATTTAATAGCGCTTATCTATAGCTGTAAAAACTGTTTGATATTTTTAAAAACCATCTTAAATAAGCTCTGTAAGTTCATAACAGTTACTATGACTCTAAAGGTCATTTCTTCTGTCATCCTGGCTGTTTGAGAACATGGCTGCCATCATTAAGTTAAATGTTAGATGGAGGATTGTTTTATTTAGATTCACCCATTTGATTGACTCTATGCACAGATTTCATCTTTATTCGTCTTTTTCAATAAGAATTTGCTAATTTAACCTTTATATACTGAACATTAATGTAAAGATTGTTTCCCCAGCAAAGGAAAAGGAAGGAAACAGTTTCTTTTTGAGCGTATTTGTTCTTGTGAAATGTACCTGGACCTGTCATAGATCACCATCATCCCACCGTTTCCTGCGTAGATTGCTCCTGTTCAGGTGGGATTGGCTAAACGCTTCTTCCTTTTCTTTGCATCTTTTTAAAACATTTCTGTAGTTTACTAACTTCCTTCACATCATCGACTCACACCTCATAATAATAATCGACCCCCCCCGATTAAATAAAGCAAATGAGCAAATCTATCAAATGTCTGTGTTTTCTTTTCTTTTTCGATGCCACCCCCACCACCACCACCAAACCCAGCCGCTAACAGCTGGTAACTCCTAAACGGCTCCGCTGTCCAGCAGGGGGCAGCACTAACGACCTGGGTTGAGTGAACTGGAGAATGAGCTTACAGACGTTTAAAATGGGTTTTAAAAGATTCAAAGATCGTAAAGTTCAGCCGATTCTGACAGTTTGTTTAAATGTTTTCTGTGTTTTGAAAGAATTGTTGATATTTTTCACTCGGTGGTTTAAAAGTCATGAAGATCAAATGTTTCTGGTCATTAAGGCGACTTTAGCTGCACAGAGAAGAATATAATATTCGTGCAAAAAAAAAAAATCACATTTTGTGAATGGAAACTTAAAAAAATACATATTTGTAAATTTTAATGAAAAAAAAAAATCATAAAAAACCTAAAATGTTGAAAAATGTTTGATTCAAAAAAAGGTTTCAGGGTAACTTTACTGCTTTCCCAACATTTTTCTATATTTTCCAAATATCCATCGATCTTCTCTTAGCGCTCGCTGTGAGGCTGCTTTCTGCCTCCAGCAGAAAAAAAGTATTCAACT